AAACCTTGCCATGCAAAACCAACACAGTAAGCAATGCACAGGACAGCTCGGTAAGGAAAGGATTTTAGCAGTTTTAAGAAAGCACTCACATAATCAGGGATCACAACATCTTGCAAATCAAGGTAGACTCCAAGTCTACCTGGACAACAATTTCATGAAATTATGCTCTAGTCGTCTGAGAAGAGGCTCAAGCAATTCTTTCCAGTATTCCTAAAGAGCTGCTTAAGAAGGAACATTACTTCTGCCACAAGACCTGCCTTGAAAGCTGAGCAGGGACTCCACCATCCCCAGGGGAACTCTGTGGTCTCTAACCAGTGCATCAACCCAGGCATGCAGGTGAGTGGGTGGAACAGTATCTCCGGGGAGCTTCTCAAGCCAATGGTTTTTAATAAACCTTTGATGGCCTCCAGCCAGCCTCACTAACAGAGAAGAACAAAAGAATTTGGCCTGAGGGACTAATTTTCCGAATTACCTAGACAACTGAGAACACAGATAGTTATCTCCTAAGGTGTCTTCAGTCACCAAAGGAGACTAGAATATAAGAATCCCACAAATGGCTTATCTTTACCTGTAAGCAAACCAATATTCTGAGCCCTTAAATCAACCTCTCTCAACCTGAATGTACAATTTATTGTCCCCTTCTGGTTTTCTGATTTTCTTTATTTGCAGAAGCAAAGGTCACTAAGTCCCTGTTTAAGTCTACCATTAAACATTCAAGTTCTTAATGAAGCAACCCTGAAACTTCAGCTAGTAAGTGTGCATTGTCAAGCAATGCTAATTAAAATGACAGCCAACTCCTAAATTCTTTAAAAACCCACAACCACATAAAGGAAAAAGCACATCAAAACACGGCCGTCAAGAAGACAGAGCAAGCATTAGTATTTTTTTGACCTCTAAAGGTTTTAATTCATAAAAAAGCTGACATGAATTTCAGATAAAGCCCAGCTGTTCCTGATCCAAATTACAGCTGCGATTTTTTTAAAATCTCGTCACCTCCACTCATAGAGTAGCACAGCATTTCAAGACATGTTTCTATCATTTTTATGATTTACAGAAAAAGAGGGAAGCAGTTGGATGAAAATATATCACATTTCCATGAATTATATCTGAAATGAAACGCTGCTCCTTACTGACCTCATTTTGTGCAGGTACTAACTGCTGCCCGCACACGTAATCTGTTGCACACACAAATTCAGTGGCTTAGTGCACATCAGCCTCAGCTGGTACCTCATCCCCTCATGGAGCTACTGAACCTCTGCAAGGCAATGCGAGAACCCAGGTATCACCTCCCACAGATTTCTTGAGTGCTTTCAGCCTCTCAGGATCGTTGTGCAGTTTATATTTAAAGTGGTACCAGGAACCAGTAGCACGCAAGATGCCTGTGTTATCAGTGAGTTAGCTATTAAAAGGTTCTCCTTATTTCCATACACCAGAATTAATCATGGTTTGTTTGACTTGGCACATCTGCCAGTACAGTACATCAGGGCTTCCTATCAGAAGCACACCATTAATATATTATTAAACAGATTTTTCACATACACTCCCCTGACACGTGCGCTGTTGGAGATCTGAGAATATCTTTTCCTCTTTATTCAGGTGAGAAAGGAGTCAAAGGCTTATCGGGGGTGTCTGGAAAAAAGGGAAAAGCAGGTATGCTATGCATTTTTCTCTGCAGAATGTCTTTGATTTCAGGGTGGGTTTGTCTGGAGTTTCACAAAATTTTAAGGCCCATGGACAAACTAGAGAATAGGTGAAATGAACAGGAAGAGACTGAAAAAGTTTTGTTTAGCAAAATGAAGGCTGGGTAGGGCATGACTGATGGCTATGACTATACCAACATATACAAAATATGGATAAGAGCTACCTAAATTAATAGGCAATGTTTGATATCATAAAAACTAACACATAAACAGGCCAGGAGTATATTTATACTAGAAACAGGTTTCTGAATATCAAAGGAATTAAGTCCTTTAAGAGTTTCCTAACAGGACCATGGAGACAAAAAACCTAAGTGATTTTAGACAGAGCATAATCTGTTGTCAAATAAATGCAATGCATCTGCTTACAGGAGAAGAATTTGGATCTGATGACCCAGAAAGTTTCTTCAGAGTCCTAATAACCTTGAATGTTTTCCCACCTTGAATGTACAGCTGTGTTCATTTTTAAGATATTTCATATGCAATGCCACTTTGGTTCTTAATGAGAAACCATCAGCAACGAATTTTCTCCTCAAGAATAATAGAGGAACAAAAACCCCTATACTAAGCCAAATTTCAGTTTACCAACGAAAATATAACTGAGATGTCAGTGCTTGAAAGCTATTGATCATTTGAGTTGGTATCAACTATTTCTGCCGGCTCACAGTGCGTGCAGCAGTTCACTAACATGGTCCTTCCACCAAAGTTTTGCCAGTTCAACCTCTATGCATACTCATAAAACTCCTTCACTGAGAAAACAGGAGTTCCCCATGTCATGGAGGCTGTTGTTTCTATTAGAATGCCAGGGAACCAGTGGTGTCTGTGGATACAAAGGCAGACCTCCGGCATTCAGATGTAATGCTGCAGTGATCACCATGACAAGGCGCACCCCTCAGCTAGATGGAATAACGAGAGGGGCAAAGGATGTGCAAATCCTACACTGATATGGGTGGAAAGAAGATAGCAAAGTCTTCTATCCACATTTTTAAAAGCAGGGATCCTTAAGCCAGTTAGCAAGGGAGTGTACAGAGCCAAAATATTAAATGCTTTGATCCACAGAAATATGATCAGTGGGGCAGGGTGAGACTGGCTTTCTACAAGTTGAGGCCAAGTCTTCAGAACCTTTGGAAGTGGGCTACAGTCACCCCTCCATGCACGCACATGAATGCTTCTAAACAGATAAATCCTCTGTCCTTTGTATTGCATCAGGCACAGTCTGTGACTGTGGAAGGTATCGCAGAGTTGTTGGACAACTGAACATCAATGTTGCTCGTCTTAACACATCCATCAAGTTTGTAAAGAACGGTAAGGATCCTTATGTATTTGATGTGATTTATTGGCTCCTATAACATTTATCATTGCTATTCTTCTACCATTGCTGCTCTATGGAAGGATCCAGGTAAAGAGAGAGGGTCCCACTGTGTGAGACACTCTCAAAACATACAGAAAAGAGACAGTCTTACACCTGTAAGAATATAAACAGCAGATAAATAAAAGCAAAAACAATACAGAAATGATCAAAAGCACAACAGAAAGCATCATGAAAAGCACAAGGCACAGCTTGCTAACCGCCTCTGCACTGTCAGTCTGCTCAGGCTCTGCAGCCACTCAGGCAATGAAAGGAAAATCTTTGTGCCAATCTGCTCCAGAAAGGCAGGAAAAGCAATAAGAACCTCTTGATCTTTCTGCGGCACAGGAAGGCTGCAGGCACGGTACTCCTATGCTTCCCACAATGCAAGCATCATTTTCCTGTAACGAGAGATCAACACTCAAAGACATGGGTTGTAAGAAGCCATGTTTGCAGGCAGTGCTGTCAGGTGGACAGTGCAAAATGCCCCCATTGAAAGGAAGGAAGCACGTTTCCTGGCATAGCAGAGATTTTCAGAAGGTTCCACAACAGTTCTAGGACTAGGTTTGTATCACAAAATTAAAAGTGTCTGAGACTGTGGGTAACTGGCACAGAACAGCCCTCATCTATATCATTAAACCCTACAAAACTCAATGTCATATTATCAGGAGTGGTCCTCTACTAACTCCTAAACTGTGCCTAAACAGCTCCTGAATTGTCTGGGAAAGCGTTAGTTGCCCATGGTGGTTTAACCCCAGCTGGCAACTAAGCACCACAGCTGCTTGCTCACTCCCCCCATGGTGGGATGGGGGAGAGAATCAGAAGACTAAAAGTGAGAAAACTTGTGGGTTGAGATAAAGACAGTTTAACAGGTAAAGCAGAAGCCGCGCACACAAGCAAGGCAGAACAAGGAATTCATTCCTCACTTCCCGTGGGCAGGCAGGTGTTCAGCCATCTGCAGGAAAGCAGGGCTCCATCACGCCTAATGGTGACTTGGGAAGACAAACGCCATCACTCCAAACATCCCCCTCTTCCTTCTTCTTCCCCAGCTTTATCTGCTGAGCATGATGTCATATGGTATGGGATATCCCTTTGGTCAGTTGGGGTCAGCTGTCCCGGCTGTGTCCCCTCCCAACTCCTTGTGCACCCCCAGCCTACTCGCTGGTGGGGTGGGGTGAGGAGCAAAAAAGCCCTTGGCTCTGTGTAAGCACTGCTCAGCGGGAACGAAAACATCCCTGTGTTATCAGCACTGTTTCCAGCACAAATCCAAAACACAGCCCTGTATCAGCTACTGTGAAGAAAATTAACTCTATCCCAGCCAAAACCAGCACAGGTCAAAGCTCTGCTAAGGACCATTCCAGCAATCCATCAGCAGGGACAATCAACTTCCATCTGCCCAGGCGTGCTCCTCAGGACTGCTTAATTCACTAGGATACACGCTGCCTGAGAGGTTTGCCTCGTAAAGCTGCTAAGCAGCCACAGTTTCCTTCCTAGTCAATGCCACTTAGTGGCTACAGCAGCTCTGAATATCAGGCTGTATTTAAAATGTCTTATTTTAGCAGTCACATTGATTTTCCTCTACATCGAAAGGGCCTGAAAAGCTATCTATAGCCCTGTGTTTCTATCCCAGGTCAGTCTTTCACAATTGTATTGAAAAGCATGCAAAGCAATGAGGGTGATCCAGAGTTAGACATTGCTCTTTGTCCATTTAGCATGCCTTAATTTGATTAGTACTAGATATCTGAAGTGTCACAGGAGACACATGCCAATCAGGACTGAATAGTTCTTGTCCTAATGTGTACAAGGTACTTGTCATTCCCATCAATGTCTGATCATGTCCTCATTGTTCATCACAAATTCAGCGGTGGGAATACTTTTACTGTCTCTCTTTTATTAATTCTAATGCAAAAATCATGTCCTTGTCATATAGGAATAGAAGCACCTTCAATATCTGTGGAAAAGCCATTAAGCAATTTTTTTTCCCCATTTAAAGTTATAGCAGGTATCAGGGAGACAGATGAGAAATTCTATTACATCGTGAAAGAAGAGAAGAACTACAGAGAAGCCTTGATCCACTGCAGGGACAGAGGAGGAACACTGGCCATGCCTAAAGATGGGGCAACCAACGCCCTGATTGCTGACTACATCTCCAACAGTGGTCTCTTCCGAGCCTTCATTGGGCTGAATGACATGGAAAAAGAAGGACAGTTTGTGTACGCAGACAACAGTCTGCTGCAGAACTACAGTAACTGGAAGGAAGGAGAGCCTCACGACCCAGCTGGCCGTGAGGACTGTGTGGAAATGCTCAGCACGGGAGAGTGGAATGACTCCGAGTGCCAAGTCACCATCTACTTTGTCTGTGAATTCCTCAAGAAGAGGAAATAAAAGTGTTGCGGAATGTGCCTGGCACCTGCTGTACATACAGTAACCCCTCCTCATTCATCCGCTGTAGGGGGAGCAGACAACCAGGGACAGGGCTCAATCCAGCCTTCCCCTCACTGAGTTAAGCAAGAGCAACTACTGTTAAGGTGGCAGTGGCCTTAAAGTCAGCACACGTCTGCAGGGAGCATGCAGCCAGGTGTGAATTTGTATTTCGTTTCTATGTGTAATTTAGGGTGGGCATTTCTATGTGGAATTTAGGAGCAAATTTAGAGCATACAGAGGTGAATATGATTTCACTAATGCAGGAATAGTAAACTCACTGGTATATTAATCACTGCTGTGCTTCACCACATAGGTGGAAAGAGAGTGATCTTTACTCATCTTTGACCTGCACAGAAAATTCCAGTAATTCCCCTGGTGACTTCAGAGCCGGGAGAACAGATTTGCAGTTTCTCTTCAAAAAATCCTTCCTGTGTTAGAATCATAGAGTAATTTAAGTTGGAAGGGATCTCTGGAGGTCATGCTTGAATCTTCCGTCCAAAGCAGGGTCAGCTTCAAACTTAGATGAGAAGTTGTTACAGTCTCCTTAATTTGGCTGTGCAATTATATTGCCTGATATGCAGGGGAGGACTTGCTTATCTCTGCTTCCAACTTCATCATCCATCAGGCTGGTTTGAGGTGTGAAGAATTAACCTAGCAATGGCACTTCTGCATGCAAGCCTGCACAGCTTGTAGGCAACCTGAGAATCGATGGAGTGGTTCTAGCCTCTGATGTCCCCCAAAAATCTGTGAAAAACCTAGAAAAGCCTAGCACAAAGAGAACAGTGCAAAGGAAGTAACACCATTGCTGTAGGCTGTAAACAGGCACATGTAGTATCAGCTATACCAATGTGCACTGCTGGTTTAACAAGAGATTCTAGGAACGTTAACTCCCTAACTCAGTAGCAAGGACGTTTGATGTCTAATGCTAAAATCACCCGTGCCTTTGCGACGCAGGAAGCAGCTGTAAAACAGGCTTTATCCCCCAAGAACCCAGAGTCAGGTGTGGTTGAGCAACTTAGTCATGCATTTCAGTGGGACACTCCACAAATGATGAGCAGTAAGTGTGAAGGTTTTGCTGTCAGTGCCCACCTACTCAGATCTCCCTATCAGTTTGCCCACAATGGATCATATTTTCATATCTTTGATAATACTCTTTTCTTCTGACACAGCAACTATTTTGCCTTCAGAAGTGAGCCTATGCTTAGTTGTGGTTCACCTTTCCTCACAGCAGGAGATGTCAAGAGAAACCCCAGGGCCCCTGCAATGAAGGTCTATAGATTTTCTTTCCCACTTGACACTAAAAATGAAGGAATGATATCTGGAGGCTAAGGAGAATGCTAGACACTAGGCACAGTGCAGCAATGTACCCTGCAGGTCACTCTGAGCACCAGTCGCACATAGTCTTCCTCTAGGTATACGAAGAGCTGGACATGCCATCAGCTAGTAATGCAGAGGGTCAGCTCCAAGTCTCCCTTTGACTGCTATGTACAGCACTGCAAAGGCAACTAGACAACAGTCATACTTCCTCAACCTCATCCTCAACAGGGAAATCCTCCAAACCATTTAGCTGGTTGCTAGTTTGACTCCAAGCTCATCTCCGAGCAATGACCAACACAGGAGCATCCCAGGAGACTCTGTGACTCAGAACCATTCTTGTAATCCAGTTTCTTTGCCACTTGTTCCTCCAGAAAACCACTTGTTGCTACCAGCAGTAAATTATCGGTGTTGCTACACACCCTCCGCTGAACTATTCAGACCTGTAAATGAAGGGGTGGGACCACATTTCTTGTCATCGCTCCCCTACTATGCTATGAGAGTATTTGGGCAAACAGGTTTACTTAGCACAACATAACTCATCCTGAATTGTTCCCTTCCTGGGAATTGATATTCCCCAAAATGAAGCAGAATTACACTTTTTAGGATCTATAGTAATAAACTCATTAAGCTAAACACTTTGGTTTTAGAATCATTAATGGGTAATAATAAAGAATGACTAATTCAAGGCAAAGTTTCTTGAGGTGAAATAATGCCTTTTAGAAGTTCAAGGTCAGGACTGCTAGCCTCACTCACAGCAGTTCTTACTAGTCATGCAGAAGTGGCATAGTAACATCCCTGTGGGTAGGTACAATCACACCGATACCCTCTCCACCCCCAGTCTTTACCTCTGACCCCAGAAGTCACCAAAACATGCTTGCCAGACTGGGGGTCCAAATTCTGGAACCCTCTGGCCACACTGGGACCACTGGCTGACAAAATCCAGAGATGTTCTTAATGCTACAATCAGCATGAACAGACCAGTTATCCGTTCTTCAGGAGGAAACTCAGAGCTGGGAGAAGGTGGAAGAGGAGCAATACTTTGCTGCAGGACCAAGCTCTGCCTGAGATTGGACCAGGCATTCTCCTTCACGTACAAAATCAGAGAATACATGTCTGAATTGAAATTCTGGTCTCTTTTAGGAGACCGTGAGATATAGGTAATCCTGGAGCATGCTGCCCATATGGGAAGAAATGACTGTTGCACGGCTGAGGGAAATGAGTGAGGAACTTGTATTGGGTTTCTGAAATGGAAAGGCTGGAACTGCCCCTTCTACCCCACCAGCTTCTTTCTTTCTTAAATAGAAAAAATAAACAAAACCAACCTTTTTACCCACTATGTATGCATGTAACATTGGGCAAGGCTATACCAGTTGGAACAAGGAGACCTAGGGTGGCTGTTACTTTGCTAACTACAGAAGAGGGACAGGAGAGGAGCACAGCACACAAGTTCAATCTAGCCAGGCATACATGAGATCAGATGCTCGTGCAACCCATTGCTGCAGCACTGGGTCCTAGCTAATATAATTTTGCCAAGAAGCCTAACTCACAGTCCAAGCCAAATAAAAGAGGCTATCCACACAGGAAACCTGGCAGGTAGGTCCATACAGCTCTGAAACATGCCATCCAGACACAAGATGAGCCTGCACTAACTCTAATATTATAGCTGTGTTTTGCAGAAAAAAATATTCTTGATTTAATTAAGAATTTGGGCTATATCACAGGTTTCACTGCTAGCCAATGAAAAGTCACTGTGGGAGGTAAAGTACCTTTGGTTTCTACATGAAATGAATGGAGCCAGGAGCACAGGAAATGGTGTCTGACTATTCAGGATTTACGGTCTGTTACAGCTCAGCACCTAAACCATTTTACCCAATCCCAATATTATGTTTTTCCCATGTTTTTCTTTTCATTATACTCAGTCTGAACCTTTCTTGTTTCAATTTATGCCCGCTGTTTCTTCACAGAATCACAGAATGGTTTGGGCTGGAAGGGACCTAAAAGCCCATCTAGTTTCAACTCCGCTGCCATGGGCAGGGACACCGTCCACTAGACCACGTTGCCCAAAGCCCCATCCAACCTGGCCTTGAACACTTCCAGGGAGGGGGCATCCACAACTTCTCTGGGAAACCTGTGCCAGTGTCTCACCATTCTCACAGGGAAGAACTTGTTCCTAATGTCTAATCTAAATCTGCACTCCTTCAGCTTAAACCCATTACCCCTTGTCCTGTCACTACACTCCCTGATAAACAGTCCCTCACCAGCTTTCCTGTAGGCCCCTTCAGGTACTGGAAGGCTGCTAGAAGGTCTCCCTGGAGCCTTCTCTTCTCCGGGCTGAACAACCCCAACTCTCTCAGCCTGTCCACATAGGAGAGGTGCTCTACGATCATCTTCATGGCCCTCCTCTGGACTCTCTCCAACAGTTCCATGTCCTTCAGTTGGAGACCCCAGAGCTGGATGCAGTACTCCCACAGGGTCTCATGAGAGTGGAGAAAAGAGGCAGAATCACCTCCCTCGACTTGCTGGTCACGCTGCTTTTGATGCAGCCCAGGACACGGTTGGCTTTCTGGGCTGCAAGTGCACACTGCCGGCTCATGTTGAGCTTCTCGTCCACCAGCACCTCCAAGTCCTTCTCCTCAGGGCTGCTCTCAATCCATTCTCCTCCCAGCGTGTATTTCTGTTTGGGATCTTGTCCGCCCACCTATCACCACTGTGAAGAGCCTGGCTTTGTCTTCTCGAAAACCCCCTAATCGGTCCTGGCAGGCTGAGGTCCACCTGAAGCCACCTCTTCTCCAGGCTGAACAAATTGGGTTCCCTTAGCTCCGCCTCCAACCATCTTGGGGGCCCTTGGCTGAACTTGGCTTCAATTTTTCCATGCCTTTCCTGTGGTGGTGGGCTCAAAGGGAGACAGTGTCTAGATGTGATCTAACAGGTGATGAGCGGGAGGATAATCCCTTCCCTCAACCTCCTGGCTGTGCTCCCTCTAGCACAGCCCAGGATGCTGTTAACCGCCTTTGTTGCCAGGGGACACTCCTGTGGCACGGGCAGCGTGCTGCCTGCCAGGACTCCCCAGAGCCTTCGCAGTAAAGCCAGTCAGCCCCAGCCTGTATTGGTGCAAGGGCTCAACATTCCCAAAGGAAACTTTGCATTTGTCCTTGCTGAAATTTGTAAGGTCCCTGTTGGCCCATTCCTCCGGCCTGCCTAGGTCCCTCTGTATGGCAGCCCTGCCTGCCAGTATGTCCACTGTTGCCTCCAATTTGGTGTCATCTGCAAACCTGATGGAAGCAGACTTCATCACCTCCTCCAGCTAATTAATAAAGATGTTAAACTGGACAGTGCCAGTCTATAGACCCCTGTAAGCACTCTATTTGTCCGCTGGGCAGAGTACCACCCATTAACCATTCTCCTCTGAGCCTAACCATCCAACCAATTTTTACCCATCTGGTTGTCCATCCATCCAGACCATAACACCCTAACTCAGATACAAGAATGTTGTTGGAGATGGTGTCAAAAGCCTTGCTAAAATCGAGGTAAGTGATGTCCACTGCTTTCCCACATTCACAAATCCAGCCATTTTATCATAGAACACAATCAGGCTGGTCAGGCATGATTTACCCTTGGTAGATCCATGCTGATTGCTCCAAATC